ATTTTTAAATTTTTATTAAAAAAAATAAAATATTATTATATTATAAAAATTAAAAAAAAATAAAAATTAATTTATATATTTTTTTAAATATTTATTATAAAAAATTAAATATTATTATATTATAATAATTAAAAATAATATATTAAAAACTAAATTTATTAATAAAATAAAGTAAAAATTGAAATTTACTTCCTATATTAAAATTTATAATTTTATTAAAAAATAATTTTTATTTTTATAAAGTTTATTAATTATAATTTAATATATTTTTTTTGATCTTTAAATATTTTTTGAATAAATTATTCTATTAAAAATAAAGATTATTAGTTATAATTTAATATATATATTTTTTAGATTAACTAGATTTTTTTTAAAAGAATTATTCTAATTGCAAATTTTTTTTATTTAGTAAAAATTTTTATATTAACTTAATAATTAGAATAATTTTTTCAAAACTATTTAAAAAATATATATTAAATTATAATTAATAAACTTTATTTTAATATAAAAATAAAAAATTTTTTAATAAAATTATAAATTTTATTATAAAAAGAATTTTTTAATTTTTATTATATTTTATTAATAAATTTAATTTCTAATATTTTTTAATTATTACTATAATAATAATAATATAGTTAATATTATATTTTTATATTTTATTATTTAATTTTTAATTTTTATTATTATATTTTAATATTCTTAATATTTTATCTTATAAATTCTTTTATTATAATATTTTAAATTTTTAATATTATATTAATTTTTTTTAATTTTATTTTAATATTAATTTTATTTTTTTAATATTATTTTTTAATATTATTTTAATTTTTATAATATTAGTTTTATATTATAAATAATTATTAAATTCTTTTTTAATTTTAATAATTAATTATATAAAAATAAAAATTTAAAATTTAATAAATAAATAAAATAATAATATTTTTTTAATAATATAAGAGTTTAATAATAAAATAAAATATTAAATAACTAATATAATATTAAATAATTATTAAATTTTTTTAAAATTACTTATAGTAGTTATTAAAAAATCAATTTTATTAATAAAAAATAAAAAAGATAAAATTTTATATATTAAACTTTATAATTTATTAAAAATAATTTTTATTTTTATATTAAAATAAAATTTATAAATTATAATTTAATATATATTTTTTTCAAATTTTTTCTAAAAAAATTCTTCTAATTTTAAATTAATATAAAAATTTTTATTAATAAAAAATAAAATTTAATTAATAAAAGTTTTTATATTAACTTTATAATTAGAGTAATTCTTTTGAAAATTTTAAAAATTTGAAAAGAATATATATTAAATTATAACTTATTTTGATATAAAAATAAAAATTTTTCTTAAAAAATTATAAAGTTTAATATAAAAAAAATTTTAATTTTATTATATTTTATTAATAAAATTAATTTTTTAATTTTATAATTTTATAATTATAAATATTATTATAAAATAATATAATTTAATTTTTATATTTAATTATTATTAAATTTTTCTTGAGATTTTATTTAATTAATTTTTTATTTTAATTTTTTTTTATTTTTTGATATTTTTTTATTTTTTTAATATTTTATTTATAATATAATATCTTAAAATTTTTGCTATTATAATATAGTATATAATAAAAAAAACTAAATTTATTATATTTAATAAATATTTATTTAAATTATATAAAATTTTAAATATATATACTTAATAATTTATTAAATAAAATTATTTAATAACTTATTTTAATAAAATTTTTTATAATATTTTTTATTAATATTTTTTATTAAAATTATTTTAAAAAAATTTAAAATACTTTTTTAATATTTTTTATTTGTTATTTAATAAATATTTATTTAAATTATATAAAATTTTAAATATATATACTTAATAATCTAATAAATAAGTTTATTTAAGATTTATTTACAAAATAATATTCAAATTTAATTATAATAATTTTTTAAGTTTTCTTATTATTAAAAGTTTTTAATTTTAAAAATATAAATTATAAAAATTTTAATAAAATAGGTATTTAAATAGTCTTAAATAAATATTTATTATATTTTCAAATATATAAATATTATTTAAATAAATATTTATAAAAAATTAAGAATTCTGATTTTTTTATTATAGATTATAATAATAAATATAGAATATTAAAGATTTCTTTATTTATAATTTATTTTAACTTATAATTTTTATATTTATTTCTTATAACTTTTTTTATAATATAAATAATTTTATATTTATTTATATTTAATTTCATTTGATTTAATAAGAAAAAAAATTTAAAATAATATAATATTATTATATTTAAATTTTTTTATATTATTAAATAAATTAAATTAATATATATATATATATATATATTTAAGAGAAAAATTAAATTATAAAAATATTTTTAAATTAAATTTATTAAAAATAAATCTATTTCTATTAAAAAAATTATTTTTATAATTTAAAGTACTTTTTTTAACTTTTTAAATTTTTTTAAATTATAAATTATTTTAATATAAATATAAAACTTATTTTTATAATTTTATTTTAAAAATATTTTTAATAAATTAATAATTATAATTATAAGAATTATAATAAAATTCAAAATTATTTATATAAGATTTAAATAATATAGTAATAATAAAAAAAAATTATAATCAAATAATATAATATAATTTATATAATTTTTATTTAAAAAATCTTAAAATTTAATTAACTATAGCTAATTTACAATATATAGTTATATTTTTAATACTTTATTTTATATTTTTTATTATTTATAACTAATTTAAGATATTTTGATATTAATAATACTAATTTTTATATAATTTTATATTAATTTTTCCTACTTCTTTTCTAATATTTCAATAAAAATCTTTTATAATATAGATTTTTTTATAAATTATTAAGTTAATTTTCAATATAATTAATCATAAATTCTTGATCAGATTGGAATCTGATAAGTATAATAGTTAATTAAATATATAAGAATATTAATTATTTAATAAAATAGTTATAAACTTAATATAATATTTAGAATTATTATTTTATTAAAATATTTATTTGTTATTAAAAATTTTATTTGCTTACTTAAATAAATTTTGAATTAGTATTTTATAATATAATTTACTATTTATAATTTTTATAAAAATTTTAAATCTAAGAATTCTCTTTATATAAAATGCTTTATATATATATATCTTAAATAGATATTTTATAATTCTTAAGTTAATACTAAATATTCAGCTTTATAATAAATTTAAATCTCATTTCAAAATATTTAAAAGATGAATTTATCAAAAAAAATTGTAATATTTCATCATTTTTTTAATATTTTTTATCCAGATAAGCTGATATTATTTTACTAATTTTATAAAAAAAGAAATTTTTTGTGAAATGCAAATCTTAAATCTAAGTTCTTGTAAAATTGCCAAACTATTCATAATATTATATTTAAAATAAGATAAGTATTATTGAGAATTTTCACTATCTTCTTGCTTATTATACTTTTTTAATTATAATTTGTTTTATTATTCAAGACTAAGTTTTTTAAATAATCTGAATATTAGTTTTACTTTAGATCATTTGTTTTAATAAGCTTGATAGTTCATTTATATAATATTTTGATAGAAAATCCAGTTATTCTTCAAAGTTTTGTGACTTCTTTATATTCACATTTTAATAATAACTTGACAAGAAAATATCTCTTGTGAGAAAACTTATATATAATAATAATAATAGTAAAAATATTTTTGTTTATCTTATATTATATAATAAATATATCTCTAATTGTTTTAGTATAACTATAACATAAAAAAAGATCTGGTAATATAATTTCTAAAAAAAAAGAATTGTCACTTTTTTCTACCATCACTGTACTTCAAAAAAATTTATATATTTGTTTTTAGTATTTTATTTTAAATATACTTTTATAAATTAAAATAATAATAATATTTATATATTTTAATAATATATAAATGAAAATTAGAATTAATATATAAGAAAATAAATATTATTTATTAAAAAAACTAATTTTAATCATTTTAAGTATAATATCACAAAATCATAATAAAATATATAAAAATTTAGTTTTATAGAGAATCTATATTTAGAAAATTATATATACTTGAATCCAAAAACAGTCTCACTTAAAAAGAGTTTGCACTTAGAAAATGTATACTTAAAGAGAGTTGATTGTAATAAATTAATTACTAATTAAAAAATTTGAGAAAAGAGAAGCTAATTCAAGAAAATTCTAAAAATAATATCATAAATCGCGATTATAGTATCCTTCTGTAATAAATTTAAAAATTTAAACCATAATTTTAACTTCAAGACTAGTAAATTAATAATTAATGATTTAAAGAAATTACACTATGAATTTAAATTTATTTTATTAGTGAAACAAATATTAATTATATTAAAAAAAATGGGGTTAAATTAGGATTTAAATTTTTAATTTTTTACTGGGGGAGTCTTTATGGTAATAATGTAAAATCTAGAGATTATAAAAATTATGAGAGAATTGATGGAAGCTATATAACACCATATGATTTTAGTCCAATGCGCTTTGTTCCTAATTCATGTATCACTGTGCTTTAATGATATTTCTTTGTCGAAGTTATTATTCTCGTGATCGCGAATCTCATGATTAATCATTGAGATCATGATTTTATGTTGATCCTGAAATTTCTATGCGATAATATTTGCGTTAATTTGGATTAGAAATTAACATTGGCTCTGAGTTTATGCATTTCAGAAAATTGCCTTAATTTATTATTATATGGTTTGGTTTAACGCCAATAATCCTGCAGAAATTGTATTACTTATATATTATTCTTTTATTGATAAATTTATATTTCTTTTCTATATTTTTATTTAGTACATTACATTTTTATTAATATGTTATATCTTACTCTAAATTTAATTTTTATGCCAATAACATTGAGCTTTGCTTAAATTAAATTGTGTTTGCATATAAAGATTGATTCACTTATTCTTGATGACTAAGATTTTGATAGGACTCGTTTCGATGATATCCTTGAAAGTTAAACATTTCTTGATAATACCCTTGAGGATTAGACATGTTTTGATTATATTCTTCGAACTGAGTATTAGGAATTCGAATCAAATATAACCGTTTCACTTCTAATGAAATTTTTTTGTAGGCTTCTTTATGTTGTTCAGACAGCATTTTCCAGTGATAACCAGCAAAGCGAGATATTTCAGAGGCGTCGCCAATCTTAATCTTTCGAGCACTTAATTCTGCCGCAATACATGCTCGATATACAAGGAACTTGTTTGGCGCTTTACTCTGCTGGCCGCCATCTCTTTTGTTTTTTAAAAAATGGTTTGCTGAGAGAAACGGGGATTTAGACGGTACGAAAGAGATATTTGGTGGGATATAATCCATTTTAGATTTTGAAGGTACGAAAGAGATATATGGTGGGATATAATCCATTTTAGATTTTGAAAATTAATAATGCGAATGAGATAAAATTGAAAATTATTTTTATTCAAATATATCAACAAATATCTTTGAAGCATTAAAAACTATAGAGTTATTAAATATTTTTTTCGGTTGTACACGTTCAGCAAATGATAATAAAAGTAAGTATCGATATTAATAAAATATTTGCCCCTACAAAATTCTTTCACAATTGATATTGCCTAAATGCATGCCATCCGTCAGATGACTTTTAATGCATTTAGACATTATACTATGCATTTAGGCAGTAAAATTTTCTTATTGCCTACTATCTTATTTGAATTTAATAACAGGGTTACAAGGGAAATTATTATATTAATTAGAGTAGAATATGCATTTTAAAGATTTTATATGCATTATGTTTAATAACCATATTGGTTAGTATATATTTGATTCATTTAGAAATTATTTTCTTTTTTTATGGTGTCCAAAAAATAAATGCCATTGTACATTGAGAAATATAAAATATTACACGTTGACATCTGGCAAGCGACATTCACATTTGCGTTCAGCATTATCATTAAGTGCATTTTGTAAGATAAATCAATATGAGAAACAAAAATATTAAGTGTGGTGTTCAAACAAACGAGAAAAATAAGAAACGCAATGATTTGGCATGTAATCGTTGAATTGAAAAAACAATTACACCCATAACGAAAAATGTACAATGAATAATATATGTTATGGTAAATGTGAATACATTTTTTATTTAATTTTCGGAAGAGAGATGTAACAGGCAAATGTACAATATTTAATGTAAAAGGGAGTATGCATTAACTTTTAGAGAGAAAATTTAAATTAGTTTTTTAAGAATTTTGTGCTTATAAGCAATTTGTTCTTATATCGATTAAACAAAAGTCAATTATCTTTTACAGAAAAATTGATTGATTCAAAATGTAATAACGGGTAAATAAATTACTTCGTAATAAATAGACTCGATGAAAAGAGAATTTCGATAGTTACAAGTAAACAGAGGTGAAAAATTCAGACTTATATAAGTGTTTTTTTAAGCAATCTATTTACTGGTGAATTCGCTTTATATTAATATATAAAAAAAATGATCATCCGAATTAGTCAAAAATACAAAGTACGTACGAAAGATGGTTTAAGTCTTTGTGGAATTGCCAACTTTCTTTATCAGAAAAAAACAATATAGTTTAAAAAGATCCATTGTTCTCTTGATTTCCGTAAACTCAGTTTCAGAATTCCGACTTTAATGAACAAAAAGTTTTGTTAAAAATTTTTTGTTTCACGACAATTATAAATATAGGATCTTTGTAAATCCTGAAATGACTGGTTATCGTTATCGTTATATTACGATTTGCATGTGTTGAAAAGGAAAAACTTTCATTCAAGACCATACCGATACGTACTCATGACAATTACATTGTACAATATCAACATTAAGTACATGTATGTGAATGATAAAATGTTGTCATCACCCCTATTTAGTTTTTAAGCGGAAAAAAGTCATTATTGTCATTTACATTATTATTACCGTTATACTTTCGCGCAAATATTAGTGTTATTTTACAATAAATGGATATGTAAGTTGATCTTTATTATTACTATATTCAAGGAGTTAAATAATTTTTTAATTGTGTTGCTGACTTGATAAAATTTATATATAAATATATATATATATATATATATCATAATATATTCGAATTCAAGAACTCTACATAAATTCATTTATAAAATGCAAGTAATAGCTCTGATTGATTGTTTTATGATTTGGAGAAACATATTTTCAAAAGCTGTAGAATAATTAGTCAGTCGTTCACCAATATACAGATAAAGTAATTATTACTTAGTCAAGTACTAATATTACAAATAAAGCGATCATAAAAGTGAAAAATAAAAACTTGTAATAGAAATGCGCTTGCATATTCAATATCTCAGGAAAGTGCCATGCTATACATATTGCTTTAATCTTTCTCGATTTTATTTAAAATGTAACACAGATAGAAAATCTTTTTTTTGTCATCTTTTTAATTTTTAATTCGATAAATCCTGTTTTTTAAGTCTTACATTGAATCATGTAACGTTGGAAATTATGTATAAGAGCTTGAACTGTTCATTATAGAGAAATTCTTGTAATAATAGTTAATGTCATCTTATTGATTACGGAAACCATTTTGAATCTTATTTAGTGAGAAAGGTATCGGACTATGGAATTTCCAATTCACTTAATTTTAATAGGTAATACTTATTAATGATTAAAAAACTGAAGATAGTAAAAAAGGGGCAATATCATAGGCTAGAAAAATAAAGTTAATACATATTTGAATATTGTGTTTCAAGAATTTTCTTAACATTTTATTTATATTTTGCATTTTACGATCTATAAAGCATTTTATATACAAAGCAAGTTGAAAATAATAATAATAGTGTCTTAATAACTTTTTTTTTGAAATGTTTGATTATCCGTTTAATTGAAATTGTAAACCTGAAAAAAGAAAGATTATGACCAAAATATCATCATACAACGTAAAGCGTATTTTATTTACTGCGCTTATGTTGAGTTATTCAAAGAAATAAACATGATTTTCAATCAAGTACATGTAATTAGTCTATATTTGAAGCCCAAAAAAAATTTCAAAATAGCCTCAAGAGCTGAAAGAACACATCAAATCGTAAAGACCTAATCCATAAATTCTTCGATGAGAAATTTCTCCGATCGTGAACTTAGATCAGCAAATTATTCCTTTAAACATGACAAATTCTAAAACGACCATCTTTCAATTGTTACTTTATTTACTTCAAGAAAAGTCACTCTTTGTAAACGCTAACCATGTATAGGAAAACGTGTATCTTTAATTTTGAAAAATTCTTGAACAAATGAGGGACAAATTGGTAATAAACTATGTTCGTTCGGAAAGCTTAAAATTGATTTATCACATAAACTTCAACGTTCTTATTAAAGTCTATATCCGAGACGTATGCTGAAATCTCTTTATTTAATCAAGTATTAGTTAGTTAAGCCAATAATTGAAAACTGATAATTAAATAAAACGTATCTCAAGGCAAGTTTAATAAAATAGAAAACTACTAATCAATTAAAAAATAAGAGTTTTTCTTTATTCATCGTATTCTATGCAACGTGAAATGTGCACAAAATAAGAATCATCTTGAAGAGATGACAATATGTGATTTATTAAAAGTTCGTTGTTTTGAAAAAATGTTTTTGCCTCCTTACCTTAGTTGTTTATTAAGTTATTAATAGGATATTCTATAAATAAAAGCGAAAATTGAAAGATTGAATCTTTCTTTGTTATAGGATATCGTTATCAATTTATTATTAGCATATTTTATTAATTGTTTAATGAATTATGGTAACAGCCATATGATACAAAAAAATCACCAAACTCAACTTGTACATGCTTCATGCACTCATGTACTGTGCATGAAATCGTTCGAGCGCCTGACGACATGTACAGTCGCCTCAAAAAGTAACGCCCGATTTGCATGTGTAACAACATAGGTAAATATATGCGTCGCGTTTTC